ATCCCTTTTGTCGTTCCTGCTACTAGAGTACTTCTGTCACCGCGACTAGCCTAACCTCTCTCGTGTCTATCAATTATTAACCATTAATAAAAAACATTTCTACGTAAATGTTACACGTGGTTTCACGATTCCGTTGCGCCGTATTCCCGTCTCAATGCAACACCACGAAACTTATTATTCGCCCATTAAAAGAATTTCTTTTTTTCTTCCCCGGCATCGTCTCGTCTCATCTGGCCGCCGAGACGGACCTCGCGAAAATATAATTGGTTAAGCGACAAAGCGTAATTATTTGTCCACCGCGAAAAAAAATGCTAAATAGTCCTCGGGTGTTGCGCGTCTGCGATCGCAACGGTCGGATCGCGTCGCGCCGCGTTTCGCGCGAACGTGTCTCGACGCGTCGCTGTTTATCCACCGTTGGAATTCGCGGCACTCGCCGAAGCACCGCCGGGAATTGCCCGTACCGTGTCGACGCGCGCTCGTCGCGCGTCTATTTTCCGCATCGAATCGAGGCAAGTATCGTCGCATCGATCTTGAACCCACTTCCTTTTGACTTTCGATCGCTAAGAAACACAATTATCTATGTACAACTTAAGAGAAATAATCCCAGGACCGCGTTAGCCCTGTCAGACGACATTTATAATTGCCCGTTGCCGGTTGTCTGATATATTCCATTCTAATTTCACCGATAAATAATTTGCCGCTTTTCTCGTTACGCGGATAAAAGAAACGAACAGACGTTTATTATTATATATACTTTGGGTCCGATTCGTCGATTCGCCGTGAATCGCCATGTTCGCTCGGTTGTTGAACGAATCGGTCGGGGCTCGTTGCCGAGCAAGCGGTTGGTTGCAGCCGTGATCTAGAAAAAAGAAATCTCTGTCGGGACGACGATCGATGGGTGTGCGTCTGTGCGGTGCTCGATCGAAGCACACTGATGTCGGCTTGGAGAAAAACGAAAAGAAAAAACACACACACACACGAGGTACACAGCGTGGCGAATGATTACCGCGAGCGCGCGAACGCACCCGTGAAAACTGACTTGATCGTTGTTCCGACACGGTCGAAACGACGCGGGACGGAGGGCAACGCGTCCGTCCCCCGTCATTCCCGAAGATCCACGAGATGGGTTCCTCTTCTGCCTCTCAATCGGAAGCTTGCGGAGGATCCGTCCAGCGGATCTCGCTCCACGATTAGACAACAACGGTAAACATTGGCTATCTTTCGATTCGAAAAATTGAAAGAAAAAAATGGACGAAACGACGGTACTGTGTGCACCTCGTTGTAACTTTTTGGTCGAACGAAAGCCACGCCCACTCGCTCGTCGCCGTGGACAGAATGTTGCACGATTTGTTTTTTCTACATCTACTAAATCTGACCGGGAAACGAGTAGTGTCTTAAAATTAGGCGGTATGATCCGTGGACTGTACGCAACAAATATCGAAACAATTCGCTCGACGCTCGAAGCGGTGTAGTATACACGTGAATCCTTGCCGTTTCATTGACCACGCTCTCTCTCTCTCTCTCTCTTTTTCTCTTTCTCTCTTTCTCTCGCTCTCTCTCTCTTTCGCTCTCTCTCTCTCTCTCTCTCTCTCGCTCTCGCTCTCTCTCTCTCTCGTCCTTATTCTCTTCGGAATTCTCCCAAGTCCGTCGTGATTTTTGATATCGGTGTTGCGCCGCCGCGGCGAGAACAGGGCGGGGCGACGCGTCTCATGGCCTCGTTAATAACGTAACTCGAGGTGCACCAAGGATCCGTGAATAGGATCGCCTGGTCAGGAATCTGTTCTTTCTGCTTTTCGAACACACGAAGCTCAGAGAACAACATCTCCGACCTGTCTCGCGCGCGGATGTCGTCTCGTGATTAGGTCACAGCCTGATCCTCTGTCGGCACTCCTCATCGTTTCTCTTCTTTTCTCTCCCTTTCTTTCGTTCCGGTTTGATGATCGATGTCTCCGTACATCGCGTACCTTCATCTCTTATCCACCTTCGATACGCGGTACTTCGTCACACATCCGTAAACGCTGCGCTTCTCCTTCTTCCTTGCGTTATTATTCTCCCTAACGTTAAGCTCTCCCACATCTCTCGCAATCTCTCTTTCTCTCTACCTCACGTTCGTTCTGCGATATGTTAGTTTAAGGATACCTGAACGCGCTTTACGCGAAGGACGTGTACCTCCTGGCGGATGCGATCCTTCCTCGCTGGGCCGTTCCATCTTCTTCTCTTTACTTGTTTTCTTGGTATTTACCGGGAGCCGACGAGCGCTGACGAGCCCGTACAGCACGAAGAGTAAGAGCCACGCGACCTCCTGATTCATTCGAGTTGCTCCAGGAAGTTCGGGGTCTTGAAGTACTCCGGCACCGGATCGTCCAGCCTTGAGATCACCTTGTAGATCGACTTCTTCCAGCTCTGCTCGGTGTCCTTGCCGCCCTGAATCGCCTTGAAGAATTCTTTTAACGTCTGCTCGACGACATACCTGAAGCTACTCGGCACCTGGAATTGTTAACGAAATTGTTAGATCCAGTCCGGCGAACGCGAGGACTTTGAAACGTGTCTTTGATGCCCCCGGCTCGTTGACAGTGTTCACACTTGCATGATGAAATCTTTATTCGTCAACGATCAAGTAAATTAATCCTTATAGCGGATAAAGATTCGTTTAATTATAAATATTCGATTTCTAAATATTCATGTATTTTCTAACAGAAACTCGCGTTGCTATTTGAAAAGCAAAATTTTTAAACAATTGTCAGTAGATAAAGCGTGAAGGACTGCATCGCTTCGTGTACGAGGAAATTGCAACTTGATAATACGTGAAAATGAAGTCGAAACTATTTTCGTAAATAAAATGAAAATAATACGAAATCGTAAAGAACAATTATAATTCATTCTGATTTATAATTCTTTCAGATAATCATTATAATCATACTTGTTGTATTTAATTCATATAATACTAACAATTCATGTTGATCTGCAATAACATTCATATGTATTTTGTATATTATTCAACGAAAACGATAGGAGGAACTATTAAACACTAGCTCTACTAAATTACTTAGTTTAACAAATTTTTTAAACGTCCATTCTTACTTCACGTAAACTATAACGAAATTCCATTATATATAATTTCACAAATCCTGCCGGCAAGCATACACAAACTGTTTGCACAAAATTAATTAACATATTTTTACGACGAAAAATGTAATTAGTAATAACGATTTGCTTTTCACCTCTGACGGTGCACGAGGGTTGAAAGAAAGTTCGGCGATGGTCCGACATTGCGTGGCGCGGGAGAAAAAGGTCCAACGTTTAATCGACAGCCGGTTCGCCGACGAGAGAACGCGTAAATCCAGTGCACAAACGAGAAAGATTACTCCTCCGCGTTCATTACGGTTCAACGAAGGAGCCGTGAATCCGCAGAATTAAAAGCGATGTTACGTATCGCTTAACGAGAGACGCGAGCGCGCGCGCTAAGAGTTTCCACTTATAATTAGGACGTTTGGGTTATTAACGAACACGAGTAATTAATTACACGTCAAGCGGGTCGCAATTGTGACCGCGTACGAAAAGAATAGGGCCTCCAGGTTTCACCGGAGACTCGTTAAATAATATTAAATAGCTGTTCCGCATGTGCACGCACAGGCAGCGCGGCTGAAAATACAATCAGCGTCATTACCTGTGGCGAAAGTAAATTGCTCTGCACAATGGAAAACAGAGATGTACGAGTGATTTGCGAGGAAACGTAATCGGCCACCGGTGTGAAAACCGGATGCATTCGAATTCGCGGCAGTTCAACCGCTAGAAGAACGAGACGTGCGAGGACCGGTTTAGTTGGCGAGTAATTACGTGGATTTCGGCAGCAATCTCGTAATTTTCTCGTTATTGTCGACACTCGCGTTGGACCAGATTTTATTGGAACGTCAATTGTAAAACTTCGAAAATGAAAATGGAAAGATATCGTAAAATTCAAAAAAAGCAAAAATATTAAGAACGTTGCATCTTATGACTCCTAGGTTTGTCGTTAACTTCTCAAGACACTGTTTATTCCGAAATCAGATTTTTTTTACAAATTCAATGGGAGAGTATATAATAGCTTTCAAATATCCATTTGTTCGTAATAATAAAAATTTAAAAAACGTTCTTACCTCGAGGTGGTTGTTTCGGTTGTAATGAAGGTTGAGAACCCGATAGATTTCCGAATCTCCACAGACCCGAAGTTCATCGACGTTCTTCAGTCCTTCCGAAACCGCTTGTCTCGCGTATTTCTCCATTTGGATATAGTAAAACTCTCTGCAAAGTAAAAGCGAATTAATGAGCGGGTTGTAAAGCCAGCTATTTTTCGCCGGGACATATCGAAATAGTCCGACGAGCTCTTATAGAAATATCTCAGACGACAGCGGAACGTAAAGCACAAATAAAATGAACAAAACCGATTTTATACTACTTCGCCGCGAAATTTCGTGAACTAGACGTTAATTAGTACACACAGACGTAGACATCCGATCGCGCTCAAAGAATCCGTCCACGCGATGCCTGACGACATCCGAAACACCGAGCGAGCGTACACAAAAAGCTGAAGCTAGGGGGTAGGAACCGCGAAAAGGGCAAAAATAATTTTTCTCCTTCGGAGTTGTCCGCCAGGTATCCACCCCCGACGTTAATTCTCGCGGATCGGAGAATGCTAATGCACTGCCGATAATTAATTAAGGGTCGATATTGAAAGTGGTCTGACGCAGGCGGGAGAAGATGAAGAAGGAAGAAGGGGCGAGGGTCGCGAAGAGGTGTGTACATCTCCTCGTCGGGATGGCAAGCGACGCGGTTCAAAGAGACTATTAAGAACGTGTTACAGTGTATCGTCCAAGAAGATCTCGACGCCCTTCACCGGGGGAGCCTCGGCAACTTTTACAAGGTTGTGTAGAGTACGCGGGGAACGTGGATACAGGCTGCGCTCGAACATCGCGGAATCACGCTTTTTCTCCTTGCCTCGGCAAAGGAAAAAATCGAGGCTCCCCGCAAGTTTGCCGTTCGCGTTCATTAATTAACGCGGTTAAAACAAGCGCAAATCACTAATTGGCGGGTAATTTGTATAGTAATAGTGACCCGAGACTTCATACAGGCCGCCGAAAGGGGCCAGTGCGATGGGGTGGCTCCGCTCCGGTGGATCTCACCGAAAACTGAGGAAAGGAGCGCGCCGCGCCGTTAGAGGAACGAGGCACTTTGAACGTCGCGATTCTTTGTGCGTCGTCTTTGTGGGCGGGACTTCAATGCGACTGCCACTGATTAAGAAATTAATTGTTTCTCTTTTAATTGAAACGTTACAATTTTCGCGCGAGCTCCTGGCGAGATTTTCAATGAAACATAGCGGGAAAGATCATATAACGTTGTTATTGCGTTTCTACTGTCAGCTGAAAGGATTTCTGTTTCTGTAAGGTGGTGGAAACGAAGAATAAGCAATTTAGAGAAATTGAGAATCTTTCAGATGTTTGAATCCCAAAATTAATTGAAACGGCAGAAGCTCATGCAGTTATTTACAAAATTTTAGACATTTTCAGAAATTGTCGCGTGTAAGATACAGTGTGTTTATATAAACAAACGATTTCAAACCAATCTAGTCAAATGTTGTTCGTGAAACAAGTTGTCATGTAGAGATGTAAGTGAATTATGTAATTCGATCAAGTTGGTACAAAGATAATTAAATGTTAAGTAGTTCCCAAACAAATCAATTTGGCGGACAATGAAAGTAATTGTGTCTTAAATTTAAAACTTCTCTATCAAATTTAAAACTTAGAACCCTAAGAAGATTAAGAGACCACGTACGTAGCCATCCAGAACATTTTACTGTCCTCCAAATAATCCTTTACTAAACCGTAGACATCTCAGACAGACATATGAGTTTCAATTGCTTCTAGTATTGCGGTAAAACATAGTTTCCAAACATCCCTACAAAACGTGACCCACCACGTCTAGATGACGGTAAATATGCACACTACTCTAGACTAGTTTTCTTCGAGCACCGAACCTCTCTAGACAAAAAAGGGGTGGTAGGGGTAAAAGACGCGGAAAGACGACGACGAAGCAGAGGACCGTCCTTGTATTCTTCCGTGCCGCGAGCGAGCAAGTCGAGCGAAGTAAACACGCGAACGACTTAACGCGAAGCCGAGTATAACAGAGAGAAATCGAGACGGAGAGAGAAAGGGAAACTTAGAGCAAAATAGAGACTCGGTAAGCGGAGTCTGCTACATGCCCGGATATTTTTCCATTCTTCTCTTAATCTTTCGTTCCGGGGTCCCTATCCTGCTTACCCTTAAACGCACACCCACGCACAAACACACACATACAGAAAGTGAGGCTGACGTCGTGGTGGTGGAAGTATCCTAGAGTAGCAAGCCGGAATGGCAGTGAGAATGGCAGTCAGGTTGATCTTGCACTTTGGATCCCGGGGGGACGGAAAGAAGTACGGTTCAGCGGGAAACCGGTAGTGCCAGCGCGGCTTGTATAACCCGAGATCCCTGAATGCTCGACAATGTGAGGCAACCAGCTCAACCTTCGAGTCTTGGCCTTCGCTCGGTGCCGTTGGGAGCAATTTTTAAGATTGCTTCCGCCTGGCGGGCTAACGCGCGGCTCGTCGCAGAATCGACGAGCGTTTTCCATACTCATCCGTGATTTCCGGGTGAATCGAGATACGCCGTCGACGTCGGATCATTCTATTAAGAAGCCTCGTCTCCTCCCCTTTTCGCGCGGATGTTAGCCGCACGGTCGTTCGCGTCTCGTCACGGGATATAGGTCGCTGGGGATAATTGCCGACTGAAATTTCTTAACGAACTCGCTAAGGGCGGAAAATGTTCGTCGACCGCGGAGTAAGGATCGAACAGCGTTGTTCGGGTACCATCGATAGGTTCTAATAACGTATAAGATCCGCGGGATGGAGGGTCGCAGGGAAACAAGGTAGAAACCGGACGGATGGCACTCGTCGATCGAACGGCACTCGAGCCAACGGAAGAAAACAATGGGATCTTTCGTGCGTCGCGTACCGATCTATACGCGGCCACCGCGAAGAAAGGGCGAGAGGAGGAGTCAGGTGGCAGAAACGCGAGAGGCTCTTCTCATTCGATCACTCCAGATTGGCTCTCTCGCCAATTAAGACAATTTCACGTGCTCTTATCAGCAGTCAGTCAGAGAAGGTTATGCACACGAGAGAGGAGAATTGAAAGAGGAGTGTGTCTCTGCAGAATCGTGTCCCTCGCCCTTTCTCTCTCCCTCCCGCGGCGGGGCGCGCGTTCGCGTTCACTTTCTCCCTTTCTGGTTGCTCTCCCTTTCGCGCTTCCTCTCTCTCTTTTCGTCTCTCTATTTCAACGTCTCCTTGAACCGTCACCGGCACCCACCCATCAGGACCGTGCCACCCCCGACTTCAGCCTCTCGGAGGTAACGTGTATGTGTCACCTGCGTCTATAATCCTTACTCAACCACCCATCAACCGCATTCAAGCTCGTCGGATCGCCGAGTATAGGCGGAATATGGTAGGTAGACTGGGCTAGGTCTGGGCTGGGCTGCGCTCGGCTGGGTTATGTACCTACGTAATACTGCATGGTAGATACCGTATATATATCTGCGAAGTGCCTAATTAAAACAGACACCAGGAGACAGAGAGAAAACGGGCACGGAGAGACGAGGCCGGCCGCATAATAGGGTGCAAGGGCGCGAGGGAGATGGCGCTAGTTCCGTAGTCGGTTTGACAAAAAGCGCGCGAGTGCTAGAATTGCCACTCTTCGACCACCAAGTGCACCGGAGAAGAGCAACGGTGAACGAGAAGAAAGGAGAAGAGATCGGGAGAGGGAGAGAAACGAGGAAGGAGGAGAGGAGCCTGCCGGGAGGAAGATAGTGAGAGTAAGGGCTAGAGGGTGAGCCGCGAAGTCATTCATTATAGTATTGTATAATTAGGATAATAATAAGCTCTTCAGGGGCTTGGGATTTCTTGCGCCCCGTTGCAACGGGGCGACGTCGGGAGAGGAACAGAGAGAGCTTGGGGAAACAGAAAGAGAACGAGGAAGAGAGGAAACAGAGGAAGAGAAAGAGAGAGAGAGAGGGAGAAAGATGGAAGCAGAAACAGAGGAAAAGAGTGTGATCCTCCTGGAGGGTGCTGATTATTAGCATCTAATTACGACCTGCTTTTGCTACCGAAAAAAAAGAGAGACAGTGAGGGAGGTGGTGGTTAGAAAGGAAATGAAGATGCGGGGTGTCTTCGAGGAGGTAATAATTAGCCCTTCCTACGAACGGAAATCGTTAGCTCGCGTTTTTCGCGATCCTCACCACCGCCGGAGAGAATCTTTTTTCTGGGGAAGGAAAAAACGATGAATGACCAAGGTGCAGAAGTATCTTTCTTTCCCGCGACTTGTTCGATCTTAATGGAGCTGATGCCACTTGAACGGTCTTAAGCGGACCCCACCCCACTAAACGTTTCCCTCGATATTCAATCTCGCCCCCGTATCTTTTTTTCCTTTCCTCGTATATTTCTGAATTATCGTCGACAGAAGAATCATTCTGCTCGAGGCTTTCTTAAATTTTAATTCTTTCTCACTCTTGGATCCCCACGTCACAAAGGGTCCGCGGCACTCCCATTCGGCGGCGCCCGCGAATTCGTGAATTCCTCTTTTGTGACGGCGATGCGTATTGCGACGCAGGTGAGGTAACAATGCGGAGCTTTAGAGGTGCCGTGTATTGAAGCGTTTAATGGCAATGATGGTTGTCGACGTGACGCCTCCTTCATACGTGATCTTTATCGTCGCGAGTTGCTGTTTCGACGCGTCGCTTTTGTAACGGATTACACGCCGTATAGGCGAGAGTACCAATTAAAAGGGGGAACGTCAGTGCTTACTTGTGTGTGCGTGTTTTTCCTTTTTTTTTTAATTTTATTC